GGCAGGGCCGATATTCTTCCAGTACGGTCCCAAGCAAGCTTGGTTAATAAGAGATTTATTATACAACTGAAGTTCAAAGGGACACAAGTGCTTTATCATTCGGGACCATTCAGGACAGTGCCTGGTCCAATACTGAGAGAATATTGACCGGCAATAGAGCATTTTGATTGGTTGATTTTAGTTATTGGCCCTCTGACTGCCCGAGTCGTGTAATAAATTAGTTATTTTTTATTTGACTGTATTAATAGTTAATTTATTGTTGTTTTTGAGCTAGTGTCATAAACCAGTCAATCAAAATTTTACTGAATATTGCAAATGGAATTAAGAAAATTGCCAGTTAAAAAGGTACCTTTTTTTTAATATAGGTTTAATGCTGCCTTCAGGAAGGAGAAACCAGACCAGGCAATAAATGCATTAATTAGGAAAACAGCTAAAGAAGTGTCTTCACCAAGCTGTCTTGCTCTTGATCTTTCAACTCCGCAACGGAATCATATCACAGAGAAATGGCATGCACATACAGAAGGATTAAACAGGTGATGCAGGGGTCGACACTAATGGTAACCTACCAGCCACAGACTAGTAGAAATTCAGTTTTGGCTGGTGGTTTTCAATTTCCACTGGCCAGTTTGGCTAGTAAACAGACTGAAATTGTTGTAACATCTAAAAACATCTAAGATAGCCACTTGGCCATTAAGTTGAAAAGTTAGTGTCGAGCCCTGTGATGTATTATAAATGACATTTCAACGCTTTAACTCCTGTGAGTGATCAAGACAGAATTTCTCCTCACAGCATCAAGGCAACAAATGACAAGAATAAAGAAAAATATTAATTAAGGGATTATCAGTTGATCCTGTAACAAATTCTCTGAACTAACATTATACAAATTGTATGAAAGATATTAATGAGAATATCTACTGTGATCTAGGAGTGGATGGGTTAGGGCTTGAAGAAAGTTAAGACACTGAATTGTTAAGTTACAGTTTTCTTTTACTTTTCAGGAAGTTTAATTCAAGAGTAAATGGGCTTCTAAAGGTGAGGCTGATTCTTGATGTCAGGTTTTCCTCCTTTATGATTAGTATAATAGCTTGGAAGACCAGCATCAGTATATGAATTATAGGAGGTTGGTTAGCCGATCAGAATGCAGGATTCTTTTGCCTGCTTCCTGAGCCATCACATAATCATAATTATCAGGGAAACTCGATGAATTGGTGTGGGTTTAGGTTCTGGGGTTGCAATTAGAAAATGGTAAGCAGCGGAAACCTGCCAGCTGTCAGACCATATTGCATCATTCAGCAACTTCATGAAACTGTGATCAAAGACAGAAATTGAGTATTTTTGGACTGATTCTAACACTGATACTGGGCTTAAAATTTGCCAGAATGCTAGAAATCAGGTTTCAAAAGAGCTTCAAATTTCTCTGGGGGATCTTGCCCCTAGACCCCCTCCTAGAAGGATGTATTGCAAAGCAACATCCCATGCTTGCTACGTAAGCATAGTTCAACTCAGCCACCTGCTCAATTCAGATCAAACATTTATTACATTTTTTAGTGACAACCCTGAGGTCCAGTACACCAGTATCCCTTCCAGAAGAAATAGCAATACTTTTAGTGACTTTTAGCTATGTGGGATATAATGTATGAATTGTAATATGCTTAAAATGTGTCAAATTATTTCTCCAGAAATGTGATGACAATGATCTCATAGATGCTAAACCTCTCCCACCTTGTAAACCAGTGAACATACCAGTGGAAATTACAGCTGAAATGTTTGGTGATATAGCCATGATAGCAGACTTTGTACATACCTTTTCCAATCTTCTTGCTCCCAAGGAAACTCTGCATATCTCCACTGGTAAATATTGAAATACTGATTAAAGATTGTTCTGGCACCTAGAGCTTACACAACTGTTGTAGCTTTTCCAGTACTTCAAGCAAATTGATTATTTTAACTTTGAGATCTCATTGGTTAGTGGTGATATTTTTCTTTCCCTTGATTGGCTGTTAGTGTTGGTTTCATGATGCTTAATAGAAATATGCTTTAAGTGTTAGGAAAATAATTGATTATTCTGATCTGATTTGAAATTATCTGCAAATGAAGTTGGTATCATTTTAAATAATCATAAATGACAAAATGTGGGGAACTTGACATAGCCTAGACTCTGGATCAAAAGCTCTGAGACCTTTCTTTTTTTTTTTTCTCGCAGATAATTTATCACAGGCCTTGATATCTGGTGAAGAGGGCTCTCCTTTGCTCTCAAAAATCTTGGTCATCTTTCTTCAGATCTTACTGCAGGATGGGTCTACCAAGGTAACTTCTGAAAAGAAATAAAGTAGAAAAAAACAAAAAACTGAGTTTACAGTTGTTAGACCATTCTACAGGGTTCGTGCTACTCCTTTAAACTCCTTGAAAACTACTTGTCGTGAATACATTTTGCAAATTTAAGGGCGCTTGAAAACTCCTTAAAAATAAGAAATTTTTAAAAAATCCTTGAAAACTCCTTGAATTTTTTACTTAAATATGCATTGAATGTGAAAAAATATATTGGAAACAATAAAAGAGAAAAAATATAGAAAGTTATCTGGTTCAAGAGCGCCTTGGGAAAAAAATGTGCTGCCATTATTGCAAACAAATGCTTTTTTCATAGCAAAAATGACTCCTTGAAAGTCAAATTTAAGTCCTTAAATAACTCTGAAATTCCTGCACGAACCCTGGTTCTAAGCTCACAATCAGTTGAGAGGAGGAAGATTTTGAGTAAGTGCACATGTTTGTTGAAATGTCAGCTACATTTCAGCAATTTTTTGCCTGTCCCTCCTCATTTTCTAAGTTAAGTTTGTCAATCATGCATGGACAAGGGAGTAGGAAGTACTTGGAAGGTTGGTGTAGTCATGATCAAGAACTGTATCTAGATGTAGCACATAACTGTGACAACCCAAGTCACACTGTCAGCCAGTGGTGAGGTATCACAAATGGAAAATACCTGCCATATCCAAGGAAACTGTGAAATTCCAGTAGCACTTTCCTAAACTGCATTGGTAGTGAATATGACATGACACCTCTGACTTTTATTTTTTAGACTAACTTTGCTCAATGTTAAATTACTTGTAGGCACATCTTATTAGGCTATTGTTTGTATGTTTCCACTAAATTACACTTTTTTACAATCATTACAAATCAGTGCTAAATATTTTGGAACATTCTCCAGGGTTTCGAATTGGGTATGAAGCTCTCAGAGATGCCGTTGACACAGCACACAGCATCCGAAATCTCAAGAATCTACTTGAACTCCAAACTTAAGATGCTTTTAGCTTTTGAAGAGGATAAACAGCTTCAAGAAATACTGGAGTCATTAGAAAAGAAAGATTTTCATCTCTTTAATCCTGAAGAGAAGACAAAGGTATGTACAGCCTTATACTGTTGCTACTATAATTCTACCGATCACCAAAGTAATTTTGGAAGTAAATGTTTACATTTTCCTCAGAGTATTCATTGGGCAGTACAGTTCAGAACTCTCCAGCTAAATTGTGATGGGTTGAGCTTTATTTTCTGTTAATACATGGGGAAAATTCACTTCATAATTTACACTGTCCTCTTGCTCTTACATTTTTGATGGAAACTCTTTTTCCTGGTGTTATGCTTCTATCCTGATCACAGTTGAATGGTGTCCTGTTTAAATTTAGATCCTGGTTACCCTGTGCCACGAGGTTTTATCGTCAACTGCTATTGATGATTACATCGGAAATCAACGAGCAGAGGCCACAGAATTAAGGTGCAGATAAATAATAAGAACTGTTTATTAAAGCAGCCACATTTTGCAAATTTGCTTTGAATAACCCCTCTAATCTATTTGTCCAATTCTCTGTAGGTGCTATATCAATCAGTGTATCGGTGGATACTCGATACTTGGTTGAGTATCAATCAGTATATCGGTGGATACTCGATACTTGGTCGAGTATCAATCAGTATATCAGTGGATACTCGATACTTGGTCAAGTATCAATCAGTATATTGGTGGATACTCGATACTTGGTCGAGTATCAATCAATTCTCAGCCAATATATTGGCCCATATGTTGGTTGAGAGCACCTACTGTAAACATGATCCTTATGCATTTCATACGGCTTCAGCTAAGGAAATTTTGCGTCAGATCAAATGATATACCAGCAAACATTTTTTTTTTCCTTTTTGTCACCTTTCCAGATTCTGGTAATGAGTTCTTTAGTTTTAGCACAGCAAGTGAGAATGATCAACAGCCATAACCATTCAACATGGCAGATCAGACAATTCTCTGATTACCAGCACTACACAGATCTCTCCAGCTAAACTTGATAGCTTAAGTGTTGCAAAAGTTTAGTACTGTAGAAGACTATAGCCATTTGAACACACTCAAAATTGGTATTCAAGTTTATACAATTTTTGTAAAATACTTGAATTTATTTGAAGGAAACAAAAGCAAGCCAAGCAGAAAGAAAAGAATGATAAAATAAGAGAAGAGAAAAAGAGGTTGAGGAAAGAGAAAGAAGAGATGAAAAAAAAGGAAGAAGAGGCAAGCAAAAAGGTACAAAGATTGAAGTATGAAGGAAAGGAAAGTCCAGCTCTCCCATGATGTTTAGGAGGAAAATACCTTTAATTTTTTAACATGATATATAATTGTCTGGCCAGGACAAGTTTGTTTAGTTCTCTGATAAGACAAAATAAGAAACTGGAGTCATCACTTTGGTTTTTAGTGGTGGAAGACAGTCCAAACATTCAATTTTACTATAACCCTTCCAGAATTGTGCACTTACGATCCATAAGTGAATTAAACTACTAAGACATTTTTTCAAGCATTCTAAATTGTATCTCTGACAGCTGTTTACTTATTTGTATCTTGAACTAAATTTATTTTCTTTATTCCAGCAACTCAAAGTGGATGAGCTAAATGTGAAAGGTGGAAAATCACATCATGTATATCTATATATGTTTTGTGAACCTGATTTCTTAATGTGATGGTTATTTTTGCTGCTTGATAGTAATTTGTACTTTGGAAATTGCATTCAATCCATTTTTGGTTATGTTTTTCATTTGTGAATTTTGTAGCATAAACCACTGTTAAAAAAGCTGTAAGTAGATCTAACCTAATTTACTAAATGTAATGTAAGCAAAATAATAATATTGTGCAAAAATGTGTGGAAAGAGCAAGAATTTTACTAAAATAGTGTTTATGCCTGTGAGTGCGAGTGGTTTCACTACAGTTGATTTGTTTTGTTTGTTGTTTCTTTCCTTTCTCTTGATATGAGTTTCCATGCATTGAAAGCACACAGGGAAATTACAGTATGTTTTCATTTTCATAGAAACTGGATCAGATTGTGTCACCTCAGAACCCCATGGTTGTTGTCCTGAGATGGAAACATCAAACAAAATGGAGGAGAAGAGAGCCAAAGAGAAAAGTGAAGTTTCCCTGAGAGCAGAACAGGACATGGAGGATTATGAAGTGGTTGAAACTCTGAGGAAAAGAAGGGAAGACATGGCTGCAAAAGACATCATAAATGAGAAGAAACTAAAAGAAAAAGAGGAGAGGTAAAGGAGTAAATCAGCAGATTGTACATTAACTTTGATGCAGTGTGGGAATCTCACTTCCCATAATGGTGACCTCAGCTGAGTTTAACACAAGTAGAATAACTTCTTTTTTGTAATTTTAGACTAGCAAAAGAAGAAGAGGAACAGTTAAATGTAAGTGCACATAGTTGTCTACATGTAAAGTCAATTTTGATTGACTGTTATGAAACCATCAAGACCTGAGTGTTGAACCAACTAATTTTTACTTCAATGCCTCTCTTTTCAGCTTAACGTGGCTCAATGTTTGGATTCTTTGAGATTAAAACCCTTAGGATGTGATCGTAACCATGGCCGTTATTGGGTGTTTAATGGTGTTGCACCAGGAATTTTTGTAGAACATGGCTGGAGAAATTTAGAGGATCTTTCAAGACCTGCTGGGGATGCTTCCAAAGAGGAGAAAGAAGTTGGAGACAATGCTGATGCAACCATTGAAACAGAGTATCAGGAAGAAGTGTGTCAAGAGGGGAATGACATTGAAATGGTGGAAGAGACAAAAGTTGAGAGCAAGATGGACGCTTGTGCTAAAGATGGTGTACAAGAATCAAGGTAGATCTCTCTTGTAATAGTGAGAAAATAAACTCGGGGAAGTAATAAGCGCCTCCCGGTTAGCTCAATTGGTTAGAGCGCTGGATTTTTGTGCAGGAGGTCGAGGTCGATGGTTCGAGCCCCGGCTGGACCAACACTCAAGGTCTTAAAATAACTGAGGAGAATGCGCTACCTTTCTATAATATCAAGAAATGGATAGACATTCTAGTCTTCTCGGATAAGGATAAATAAACCGTAGGTCCCGTCTCCTGCATCTATTAATTAGTTAATTTGGTTAGGCAGGGGACGTTAAAGAACCCACTCATGAGATTACTGTGATGTGGTCTGGCCTGTTTACTGGGAACTGGGAGGATGGGGCATCTTCAAATACGTTTCCTTTGATTGTTTGTAAACTGCTGATGCAGTCCGGCCAAAGTCCCCCGAAAAGTGTTGTGATGCGCATTTGATCATATCCACATGTTAATTTGTGCAATATAAATATTAAATTATTATTATTATTATCATTATTATTATTATTATTATTAAGCATAGAGATAAATGTTTTGTTAGAAATCCCCTAAAATGCAAAGGAGGACGGTGATGGTACGAATAGTACAAATAGTAAACGCCACAGTGTACACTACTGAGTTATGGATGCACACCGGAGGTTGCTAAGCACGAAAGAAGCGTGAGAGTGGCGCGAGACGATAGCCGAGAGCAACTCTAGTTTCTTGAGTGCTTAGCAAACCTTTCAATAGTGTACCCTGTGGTGTTTACTGTAACGTTGTGTGTTTTTGTACTGCAACAAACGTGTCTTGTGGGCGTAAACAAACGATACTTTTTAATCCAAGTCGGTTCACTGAAGACTCGAGTACAAGATCGCGAGCACATGTCAAGTCTGGCATCCTATTGGATAACAACTATCACGTGACGTTACACCCTTCCTTTTGTAAAGAAAATAAAAACAAAAAAGAGAACTTATATTACAATAAAGATACGAGTAATGGTCTTAAAAATGTCCTTCTAAGTAATAAACACAACAACGCATTAAGAAAACTATGAGCCCAATAAATGACAGGGAAATGGGCAAAAGTTCAAAGTTCCTGAGTTGCAACAGTCTAAAGAACGTAACGAAAAGTTCAATGTCTCTTAGTAAAACTAGGTCATCTTAAAGTCATTGAAACGAGCAGGTAAGTTAATCTGACGTCTGCTCCTAGTTGCAGCGGCTACTCCTGCAGGTGGGTCTTTCACAGGTGCTGGTGCTGGTACTGTGGGACTCAAAGGTGGGGTAGAGACGTCTGCTGATACTTGTTGGGGTGGTTGTAAGGGCGGCTCCTCAGAGTCCTTT